GTCATCAGGTGTAACTGCTCCAATAAAATTACTGTAGCGTGTGAAGAAAGCTATTCAAGACACGTGTTTTTTATATAGGGTGCTGGGCAGGACGGAGCCAATGAGTCAGGGGGGGAGAGATAACCATCTCAGTGCTTGTACACTGCAAGTACGGTGCTTGTGTAGTGACATAAGACGTCACTACTGTGTCGGCCCGTACGAGGGCTGGGGGCCCCAAGGGGGTGCCTGGGGGGTCACGTGGTGGAGGGACCCAGACCTTCCCGTGAGGTGGGGGAAGGGAGGCGTGGCCTGGGAAGGGAGGCGTGGCCTGGGCTGAGCCAGCCACGCCGGAGCGGATATAAGCGGGGTGTGAACGCAGAGCGGGGCTGTTGAAATCCGAAGTGAAGACGACATCATCGGTCATCAAGTCCCGGGTCGTCGTCCTGGATCAATATGGATATACTCTCATAATCATATCCATATTGATTCTTATAATTTTACAGTCATATCCAGCCTTATACACCACCATTACTAAGGAAAAAAGTCTTATTTACAAGTGTTTCATTCCCATTCGCCATTCAGTGTCCAGGCACCATACATGCAGTGTACAAACACCGTACATGCAGTGTACAAGCACCGTACTTGCAGTGTACAAGCACCGTACTTGCAGTGTACAAGCACCATACTTGCAGTGTACAAGCACCGTACTTGCAGTGTACAAGCACCGTACATGCAGTGTACAAGCACCGTACATGCAGTGTACAAGCACCGAGATGGTTCTCTCCCCCCCCCCCCCCCCGACTCATTGGCTCCTCCCTGCCCAGCACCCTATATAAAAACACGTGTCTTGAATAGCTTTCTTCACACGATACAGTAATTTTCCTTTTTTACCTACGTGACTTTACCGAAATAACCTAAGAGTATTGAGGTCTGACTCATCAGGCCATTATTGTTGCCTCTATTGAATTTTCACAGGGTGATACACGGTGTGGGTGGTGGGATTGTTGGGGTGCGGGGTCATGAGTTTGGCGTGCTTTCTTGTCCTATCCCGTGTTGTTGCTCCATGTTCCTGCCCTTTTCCGGTCGTGATGTATATAGTGTACATTTGTATAGGTGGGCTGGGGTATTTATCGTCGGGACCGTTTTTGTTCTTGTTCTTGTTGAGGCACGCGTTGTCGTTATGTTGCTATTACGGGTCAGCTTATGTTCACGAGTATCAGCTGGGATGGCTGAGTGCTGGGGGGGGGTGATGTAGTGGCATCGGGGATGTCACTGCATGTTGTGTGAAGCCGGCCTGAGTGAGGCATGACACAAGCCGCTCACACCATCTACAGCACTGCAGTGGGAATGCAGTACCGACCCTAGCGGGGGCCGGCTGAGATTGCCGATCAAGGATGGATGGCACTGCACTCTACGTGTCAGCCTCTGGAGATTAGGGGGTGATAGTGCCAGGGATGGTGCAGGGGTACACAGGGGGCCATGGCATTCCATGTGAACCCGGAGGCCTGGTGACCAGAGGTACCCGGTCCGGGGGCCCCAAAGAGAGGGCTGGGGGACCACAGGACCAGGACCCTCTCGAAGGCTCGAGAAGGGAGGTGTCACTAGGGGCGGAGTAAGCCCCGCCACGGGCAATATAAGCCGGAGCCCTGAACGGGTCCGGCTGGCTGGAGAAGACCTGCCCGACTACAAGACTCGGACCCGAGCCTGTACGAGATAGCCACTCCGTGTGAGCGAGGGTTAGCTAGCCCAGAGGAAATACCTCCCTAGGGTAGCTGGTGATGGGGCAGATATACCCCTTCGTGTTCAGGGCTTTATTGTTAAACCAACGTGTTGCCTCTAAAAAGTATCTGCCTCCCTGGCGTGAACCACATGTAATAGATGGTTTTGAAACACATGATAATACAAACAAATCTCTTCATTATTAAAACTCACCAGAGCACTAGTCAGTCCAAATCATACTTGATACTCTTACATAAAACAAAAAAGGAAGTAGACAGCTTAATTCAGAATTTAGGTGAATTAACCAGTGCACAAAGTTTAAGGCAAACAATGCAACAAAGGATTTCAGTCTGTAGCAGGCGGTCTCTCGTGCTAGCGTCGACAGTGACACGGCAGGGGTGTAAGGAATTTTCTTTTATGGTGAATGTGAAGTCATCACAGTCTCTCAAGCAGCAGCTTGATGACACACCAGCCAGGCGATTGATGCAGCAGCTGGTGACTTGCCAGGTGTGTTTGGGCCTCGACGACATGGAGAATGATGTTCTCTTTCCTTCAGTCCTCCACTCGGGGGAAGGACACTGCCAAACAAAACATTAAGGGGGTATGGGAAGGCGAGGTGTGGGAAGTTGCAAGTACCAGGCTGTTGTGCGGTCACCTCCCCATTGACAGGTGGTCAGGAATGGTGATGGTGGCTTACACCATTATCAAAGATGACTATACTATCAATGGAGGGGCGCAGACAAAACCGAGTCACCTTCTATAACCTCTTGTCCCAGGTGCTAGCTAAATTGGCCCTTTGGGATAGTCGTTCTATTAGGTGACTATGGTCATGACACGCACCTGGGCTGGAATGAGTAGAAGGCATGGACAGCTCAATAGTAATGGTAGGAGGCTGCTAGACTTATGTGCAGCCCATGGGCTTGTAATCACCAACATGCTGTTCGAACATTGGTACATCCACACAACACCAGAGCCAAGCAACATTTGCTGGACTATATAGTGATGGAACAGTGAATGTAGGCCCATGTCCTTGACATGGGCCTACCCATATCTACTGACTTCCTAATATCTACTGATTGCAGTAGTAGCTCCTGACTCTACAGTAGTATCTACCGGCTCTATAGCAGTATCTACTGACTACAGTATCTCCTGACCTACAGTAGCATCTACTGACTCTACAGTAGTATCTACTAACTCTATAGTAGTATATACAGATTGTACAGTAGTATCTAGCGCAGACATGGGCTAAGAGACAAGAACTGGCTTAGTGACTTTGCGTTTGCTGTGGACATATTTTCACACATGAATGAGCTGAATGTGAAACTGCAGGGGAAAGATCAGTTTGTTCACAACATGTACAAACATGTGAAAGCCTTCAAATCCAAGCTCACTTTGTTCTCCGGACAAATTGCGAACAAATCTTTCGCTCATTTCCCCACACTTGCCATGCAGGAAGAGGCACCGCGAAACGCTAAAACATACAGCAAATCACTTGAGGACCTGCACGGAGAATTCTGCCATAGGTTCTCTGATTTCGAAAACATTGAACAGTCACTTCAGCTGGTGTCCTGTCCCCTGTCACAAGACCCTGAAACAGCACCACAGGAGATGCAGTTGGAACTGATAGATCTTCAGTCTGACTCCGTCCTAAAGGAGAAGTTCAACTCTGTTAAACTGAATTACTTTTATGCTTCACTTAACAGAGCCACGTTTCCAAACCTCCGGAGGACTGCACAGAAGATACTGACTTTGTTTGGCTCGACTTATGTGTGTGAGCAGACATTCAGCGTCATGAACGCCAACAAAGCCCATCACAGATCAAAGTTAATGGATCAGCACCTCAGATCTATCCTGAGAATTGACACAACCAAAATAACTCCAGACTTGGATGCACTGGCAAAAATGGGAGATCAACAACACTGTTCCCACTGAAACTGATTGTGTTGCTGCAGCGAGGTTGGAGCCAAATCTCCATCACACAGCCTGCATGGCTGCTCTAACCTGTTAATGTAAATAATAAAGAAGTTCAAGTGAGGTAATTGGTTTGGGCGCAGGCCTCAGATGTTTTCATGATGTTTGATCAGTCACGTTACATGTTTTTGTATTGTTCATGTTCGTGCAATTTGTTAAATTGCCTTGCAAATAAATGCTTTGCTACCTGTTAAAGGGCAAATCCTTTCATGTAATGATTTTTACATGTCATTATATTAGTTCACATAAACACTCCATCCATCTGTTCCTGGCCCGGCCCCTCTGTCAAGTTTTAGAACCCATTGTGGCCCACAAGTGAAAAAGTTTGCCCACCCCTGGTATAGAATCAGTAGATAGTGCTAGTCAGCAGATACTGCGATAGTCAGCAGATACTACTATAGAGTTAGTAGTTACTACTATAGTCAGTAGATACTACTATAGTCATTAGATGCTACTGTAGAGTCGGTAGATACTACTTTAGAGTACATAGATACTACTGTAGAGTCAGGAGATAATGTAGTCAGTAGTTACTACTGTAGAGTCACTAGATACTGGAGTCGGTAGATCCTACTGTACAATCCGTATATACTATAGTTAACAGACACTACTGTAGAGTCAGTAGATACTACTGTACAATCTATAGATACTATCGTCAGTAGATACTACTGTAGGTCAGGAGATACTGTCGTCGGTAGATACCACTATAGAGTTGGTAGATACTACTGTATAGTCAGGAGCTACTAATGCAGTCAGGAGATATTACGAGTCAGTAGATACTGCTATAGAGTTAGTAATTACTAGTCAGTAGATACTACTGTAGTGACCAGTAGCGTCACTACTATGTAAACACACGCACACGCGTGACGTCACCATGCGGGGGGGCGTCACTACCACGCGGGTCTACACACACACATGACGTCATCCCGGCTGGAGGCAGGGATGACGTCAGGGCTGGTTCTGGACTCGGGAGGTCATGGGGGTGGTGTGAGGCCGTGGCACTCTCTGTGACCCCGGCTGGACACGTGACCGGATCCCGGTGGGGGTCGGGGGCACCTTGGGGGGCACGTGGACAGCAGGAAGGCTTCGAGAGGGTTCTCGAAGGGAGGCGTGACCGGAGCGGGGCCCGGGCACACCGAGGCCCATATAAGCAGCCTCCTCACGAGGTTCGGGGCTGCCTGTGCCAAGAATGAAGATGCATCGTGAAGATGCCAAGAAGAGAGAAGCCTCCAGTCAGCGGACCCACCAGTAGCCCACCTGGCTGGGTCACGCGAAGTGTATCCGAGAATCAGTGCTACCACGCAGGCTGAGGGAAAAAGAGTGACATCTCTGGCTATTCCTCCTACCAAAAGCACAATTTATTTTATAACACACATTATGAATAACACATAACATAACAAACACAAAGGTCTCGCACATAGCCCACACAGACTGTTGGGGCAAATGTTGTTGCTAACACCCATTTTAGGCAAATACGGCTCACGAAGGGGTGTGTGGCCAACACCACTCTTGGCCAACTTTGTCTCCCGAGGAATATTATTTACTCAATTAAGGCTCAATCGACTTAGAGGAGGCACAGGACTGGTTCAGATATTCAAGAGTAGACATATTCTAGATATGCAACCAAGACAACACGAACAAACCAACAAACACGCACAAGCAAAATAACAACACAACTACCGCAAGGACCCCCTTGACAGCTATGCTGACCCCCGTGCCAGGCCACATGCAAGTCTGTGTGCCGCACCGCAGGGTTAGTGGCTGGCGTCGTCGGGCAATGGTGAGATCATGGATGACTTGATCTGAAACAGATCGATTAGTTCCTGCATGCACACATACACACACACGCGCGTACACAATCAGTAACAACAACCGCCATTCGCCATTAAGTGGCGGTGACATCACCACGGCACTTGTGCCAGGCTATGTACACATTAAGGCCACATGAAGAATCGAACACCCGCTGGCAGGTCACGGGACAGACCCAGGTGCCATGGGTCGACTGACTGAGATGACTGGCCGATGCACCACTGTTGCCCCCTACTCCGCCAATTTTCTGTTTTGGCCACCAGGAGTTCCGCTCGTTGTGAGCGTTGCTCCTCTGCCCTCCGTTATTGCTGGAGGGCAACTGACTCCAATTGCCCAGTAGCGTTCTTCACGAGCCTCCTCCACAGAGACCGATCTTGACCCCGCTGGTACCAGTCATCGGCAAGTCCACTCAACTCTACATCCTCCTGTAACACATCACTCCATCTCTTCTCTATCCCATGCCATGCCTATTTAGCCCCTTCTATCCAGCCAAACAAAAGCTGTTTAGACATACAATGGCTGGGCATGAGGGCTACATGACCCAGCCATTGCAGCCTTGCCTGCCGGAGAAGCTCACCGATGGGACTTTCAAGGATTTGTGATCTCGCACAATCCAACCTGGTTAAACCCAGGATGGATCATAGCCAGGCCAGCCTAAATGTTAACGGCGAATATGTTCCATTAGCGGGGTCCACATTTCGCAAGTCATGCTCTCCGACTGTGGCTGAGAAGACCTGAAACTACGTGTGGAGTGACAGACCAGGTAGCTTCCACACAGCATTACGCACAATCAACTTAACACACAGAGATCCAAAACTCATACACGCACATGGAATACACATGCCACATATATCCTTAGACTGTTGGGCCAAGTGCTGTTAGCGAGCACCTATGAAGGCCGGCATGGCACACGAGAAGGTGGGGGGCCAGCACCACGCCCGGCTGCCTTTGTCTCCTCAGTGGCAAAGATTTTATACACCACATGAGGTACTCATTTGAGGCTGAGTCGACATAGGGGAGGCCCAGGATCGGTTGAGATAATCGTCACTGCTGTTGGGCGTGAGCGGGAATCAAACTCGGGTCGCTGGGTTCGTAGCACAGCGTCCTAATCACTACAGTACCGCTCCATACATGCACGCACTCACGTACATGCCCACACGTGTGTGTGTGCGCGAGTTGCCTTCCAGATTTTTATATTGAAGGTCATGATTTCCTGGTCGGTTTTCTTCCTCTCTTCAATTGTCTTGCTCCCTCCCTTATTTTCCTCAGTTAACTCTAAAAAAACATCAAACACCATCGATACGCTGTTAGCGAGCACCTATTAAGGCCAGCACAGACACACACAAACAAGCACAGACCCACTTATAAAACAAAAGCATCCGTCACGAAGTGACCATAATATAATTACGGCACCTGTGCCAGTCGAGGTGCACTTTAAGGCCATTACGTGAAGTTTTATGCTCGCTGGCAGGTCGCAGGACAAACCCAGGTGTTATGGGTTGACTGAGATCAGAATCAGAATATTTGTTCATACTAGAGGAATCCGATGAGCAATAAAGCTCTTTTTCACAGGTGTCCAGTAGGGGCAGGTCATAACGTTATAACCATACAAAAATACAATAGGAGTGCAAAGTATAGGAAAGGTAATCAAATCACTTCAAAATATATATATAAATAAAACTAAACTATTGTTACCTTACCAGGTAAAGCCCACTGAGCTATTAGCTTATTTTTCTGAAGCGACCTAGTCACAAATTATAGCTTAATAAAGTGGCTTATCATGTGGAAATATACATGAGCATAATTATATTAATAATCTGGAGGACCCGGAGAAAAAATCTACACGACCACGGGGAGAATGCGCAAACTCGAAATATACAGCAGGCGTCAGGGTTGGGATCAAATCCCTGACCTGTATACCATGCGAGGAAGATAACATCACACCACTGTGGTGCCCCTTCACCAAAAAAGTATATAAGTTCATATTGCATTAGTACTTCAATTCCCAAGCTTGGGAAAAGCAGAACAGAAAAAGTCCCAGACACACACAAAGACAACACACAATCCCTCAATAAAATTGTACATTCAAATTGAAATATTGATACATTGTTACAAATACAATTTACAAATAACATTGGCAAATGTGGCTGTATCCAACACTAATCTTCTGCAAAATATTGTTTTAAGATTTACGAAATTAAAATAGGAAACAAAGTTGTTCCAAAACGTTGGTTCTGCAATGGCTTTGTCACCTATTCCAATTTTTCTTCTTGGGATAGTTAAAATGCAATTAGATTGACGTTTTAGGTTTCTTGGATTTTAAATAAGAATTTTATGGATATCTGGCAGATGTACCACCTGTGCTCCCCATTGTGCAACTTGCGAAGACACAAAAACATATATAAACGTACAAAGATACCCTGTGCAGTCTACACAGGCTGTTGGGGAAAGTACTGTTAGAGAGCAACTTATTAAGGCCACCACGGTAAATGAAGGGGTGGTCTGGCCAGCGCCACGCATGAATGCCTTTGTCTCCCCAGTGCCGAGTTGATCTTGGGGAGGCCCATACACAGGCACGTGTATCGGACTCACCTATCCAGACTTACCTATCAGAAGAACGCAGGCCTTGTTCTGACTAATCCGGACCTTGCCATCCTGCAGACACAGACGCAGCAACGTGGGGACAGATCATCCATCTCACGGTCTCCCCGTCCTCATATCCCTATGTCCCCGTGTCTCCATGTCTCAATGTCACGTGTCCCCATGTCTCCCTGTCTCCATATCTCCTTGTTACCCCCACCATGGCATCCCCCCCATGTTGTCACCCCCGTGGTGTCCACCCCGTGCCACCCTCCCCACCCCCCGTGGTTTCCCCCCCATGGCGTGGCTCACCCGCTCAAGGAAGGCCGTGTGGAAGATGTTCTCCAGCGTGCAGCTGAAGGAGGTGGAGTTGATGACAAACTCAAAGAAACCCAGCGGCTTCCCACCTGTGTGCATGTGGGTAAGCGTGTGTGCGTGTTTGTTTACGTGCGCATGCGTGGGTGTGTGTATGCATGTGTACATGTGTGGAAGTGAAACAAAGACAGCCGTGAAGAGGGGGATTAATATCATACGACCCTCACAAAGGTCACGAGCAACAAGTTCACTCGGTAACTGCTGGGCGTCGCTGCATGTGGCCTGCGACCGTGGCTAGGGTTGGTGGATCGCGCATTCATGACACATGGCAGCACAGCAAGTGGGTTGTTTCCATCTGTACGTGGATTGAGTGTTGCCCCACTCGCACACCATGGGTGTTCTCAGGGTGCTCGCGTGTATGAAGACAAAACGGCTCGCTGTGGACATTAATCGTATCACAATAATAATATTACATTGATATGGTCTCCGTGCCACTACACGAGCGACGCGGTGCCTACGCCGGCACTTACGGCGCCTCCAGCCCATGAGCGCAGAGTGGCCGTTCACTCACCGGGGCCACGGGAGTGGCGCGGCGTCGGCCATTCCAGTTTCTCTATGTGGCCACGAACAGTGAATCATGTGATGCCCGTTGTAAAAGGAGGGGGCAATCGAGGCATTCACTCTCATTAGCGACATGAATACAGGCGATGCTCGCTCAGCGCTCCTCAAAATGTGTCATTGCTCCTGGACAAGTGAACACTAATCGAATCAACGCTAAATGGAGCCATTATATATATGGGCATGCATTCCCAACAGCTCATACACATCCACGTATTGAATGGCCCCAGCCGGAACACATCGACAGATCACAGCCCCTGCAGTCTACCCGAGGGGACCCCCAGTGGCAGCTGCCCCTGTACGCCACAATGTGTACACAGCAGAGCAGCCCTGCTACATGGGCATGAGTCTGTCACGAGGGGGAGATGTTGCTATGAGGCTCTTCCCAATTGAGAGATTGGCAATTTGAGCGATGTATAAATTGAGTGATTGATAATTTATTACAAAGCTAATTAACTCACCGTTCATTTTTATATTTTCTTTCAGAATGCTTTGAATCCTCTCCACTTCCTTGATTGTTGCCTTTTCGCTGCTGGATTCAAACCTTTTGAGCTGCACACACAAAAAAACAAATGTCCCCTGTGTAGCCTATATATGGTGTTGCGGCAAGTGCTTTTAACGAGCAGCACCTATGAAGACCGCAACAGAGAACAAGGGGATGGTGTGACCAGCACCACGCCTGGCCGTCTTTATCTCCCCAAATGCTGATGTTTACACACCACACCAGGTCTTCATTTAAGGCTCAGTTGACCCAGAGGAGGTCCAGGACTGGAAGTGCAGTGCGCTAACCACGGCACAACTGCTCCCCAAACGCAGCAGCAACCTGCCCACAAATGATAGCTCAACGAAGTGGCTTATCATTTGGAGATTTATAGCAGCCAAATACTCTAAAGGCATGTTTCTAAATGTGGAGGTGAAAACCAGTGAACCCGGAGAAAAATCCACACGACCACAGGGAGAACATGCGAACTCCAAATATACAGGCATCAGGGTCAGGATCGAACCCTGCATACCAGGTGAGGTAGTTAACATATCCTAGCTACAGAAATGAAGAGGGGCAGAGGCCAAGGGTCAGCGTGGGAGGGAGGCCGGGACCTGCTGGGGCATGGCTCGCATTTCCTGTCTTGACTTCACGGGGCGGGACTTCTTGTTTTCAGCGCGCTGCACGGGGAGTGGGTCTGCCTTGAATGTACCCAGCCTGTCCGCAGGGGGGATGTGGGGACACAAGAGAGAGACATGCAGAGACGCACGGGGACACACAGAGTGGCACAGAGCAGCATGGGGGTTATTTAGAGAAACACAGGGTGACACAGAGGGACACACAGAGACAAGACAATATGAGAGGATACACGGTAATACATAAGAACACACAGGTGGATCAGGGAACATGGGTATACACGGAGACACGGGGCCACACAGGAGTACATGGGGGGGACACGTGGGGATATGAGGGGACACGGGGGTACACGGGGGGACACGGAGGGACACGGGGGGACACGGGGGTACACAGGGGGATACAGGGGGACACGGGAGTACACGGGGGGACACGGGAGTACACGGGGGGACACGGGAGTACACGGGGGGACACAGGGGTGCGACTCTCACATGTAGTGGAAGGTGGGCACCACGCTCATATAGGATGAGGCGCAGGTTGCGAGCCGGGCCCAGGCTCCACGTGGGAAGCAAGTGTTGTCCTCCGTGACGTATGCATCGTCGCATCCTCCTTGTCCTTGTCGTGTGTCCTCGTCACTGCCGCCCAGCTCCTTCCCCTCCCTGCCAAGCGACTCTGCCCCCGCACTCGCACCGTCTCCACGGGAGCAGCCCATGTACGTCAACTGGGGGGGGGGGGGGGGTGGCACAGGGGAATGGCACAGGGGGATGGAACGGGTAAGTGCATACTCGTGGGTGCGAGTGTGTATGTGTAGTGACCTACCTCCTCGTGGTGCCGGACGGGCAACGTTGTCGTGGACAGTGCCGTGGGGGGAGGGCCAATTCAAATTGGCCTTTCCCCTCAGGGTGTCTGTGACCACCACAGCGGCTAAATGGGGGCTCTGGACGGGTGCGAGGGGCTGGTAACCCCTCCACCTTAAATAAATTACCACTAAACCACGACTGAAATATCTAACTAATAAGCTTGTGCCGGAGGCCCCGGGGGGACAGGCGTCTTTGACGTCTCCTGGCCAAACCCCATTTGAAGGAGCCAGGAGATTGAATCTTTACCCTCGGGGCTCCTCCAGAAACAACGAAAAACCACTACGGATGGCCACGTGGAATGTTTGAATTGCTCTCTGCGGAGGAGAGGCTGCCACTCCTCTGTCGGGAGCTGTACCGGTACCGCATGGATCTCTGTGGTATTCAGGAGGTCTGGTGGACCGGCTCTGGCTCCTGCCACCATGAGGGGTGGACAGTCCTCTACTCGGGGCAGGAGACTGCTAAATAACAGGGTGTGGCTCTTCTTCTGAACAAAAAAATGAAGGGGGCGTGGGAGCGTGGCAGTGAGGTGTGGGAAGCTGTAAGCCCCAGGCTACTTTAGGCTCGCCTTCCCATCAACCGGAGGAGAGGAGTGGTGGTCGTGGTAACTTATGCCCCCACCGAAGACAAACATCCGTGGAGGGATGCAGGCAAGGCCAATGAGTCAGAAGCCTTCTAGGACCTCCTGTCACAGGTGCTGGCTAAAGTGTCCCCTTGGGATAGAGTAATCTTGTTGGGTGACTTCAATGCCTGAGTTGGTCATGATGCTGGCACCTTATCTGGAGTGATTGGAAGGCATGGGCCAGATCAGCTCAATAACAACGGTAGGAGGCTGCTAGATTTTTGTGCAGCCCATGGGCTTGTAATTACCAACATACTGTTCCGGCATTGGCACATCCACACAACATCATGGATGCATGCCGGGTCCAAGCAAGAACATCTGCTGGACTACATAGTGATGGACCAGCCGATGCGAGCCCATGTCCTTGACACCAGGACCTACTGTGGAGCTGATCTGCCCTCTGACCATTGACTAGTCATCTGTAAGATGCGCCTGCTATTCTACCACTCCGGTAGTGGGTGTACACCCAGGACCCAATTCCAACCTAAGGTGGCCTGGTCTCAGCTGATGAAAGTTGCAAGCGAGAATTGAATCATCGTTTGCGGCTGGTGTTGGCATCGTCCCCCACTCCTCCTGATGTCGAGGGTAAATGGGCGAGGTTTAGGACTTTGACTCATGCAGCTGCAATGGCTGCTTTGGGTACGCAGTCCAGACCTCCCCAGAGACCCTGGCTGACAGAGGAGGTGTTCAGGATGGTTGAGAAAAAGCGACAGCCCCACTCTACTCTTTGGTTTTTTCGGTAAAGTCACGTAGGTAAAACAATCAATAAAATAAAATAAATGAAAACTAAATTAAATCACGACGTTTCGGAGGCAACACAAGCTTCCTTCATCAGGTGTAAAAAAAGGGCACAGCAAAATAACTGTAGCGAGAGTTATTTGTGATGAGACATTGTTATATAGGGTACTAGCGGTTAGTACCTGGCGTTGCCCGGGCGAAAAAGGCAGACACGTAGTTACACACGCAAATCCATTGATACACACACATAGAGTTACACGCACAAATGGACTCACACATACATACATAGACTGAACAACAACAACCGCCATTCGCCACTAAGTGGCGGTGACGTCACAACAACGCTTGTGCCAGGCTATGTGCACCTTGAGGCCACGTGAAGTGTCGAACGCCCGCTAAACAAGAGGTGACGGGGGAAACCCAGATGGCACAGGTCGACTGACTGAGACGACTGGCTGATGCACCACCTGCGGCCCCTACTGTGGCAACTTTCTGTGCTTTAGCCACCCGGCGCTCCGCTCGTTGTTGTGAGCGTCGCTCCTCCGCCCTCCGTTGTTGTTGGAGGGTGACTGCCTCCAACTAGCCAGTAGCGTCCTTCAGGAGCCTCCTCCACAGTGGCCGATCTTGACACGGCTGGTACCAGTCATCCGCAAGTGGACTCAGCTCCAAGTCTTCCTGTAGCACATCACTCCATGTCTTCTCCAGCCCGTGCCACGCCCGTTTAGCCCCCTCGATCCAGCGGAACAAAAGCTGTTTAGGCATGCGGTGGCTGGCCATGCGGGCTACATGACTCAGGCAACGCAGGCTTGCCTGCCAGAGGTCACCGATGGGGCTTTGTCCACATCTTTCAAGGATTTGTGAGCTCCTCACACAATGCAGCCTGGTTAAACCCAGGATGGATCGTAGGCAGGCCAGCCTAAATGTTTCTAACCGGCGAAGATGTTCCATTAGGGGGGTCCAAGTTTCGCAAGCGTAGAGAAGAGAGGGAATGACCGTGGCCGAGAAGACCTGAAGCTTCGTACGGAGTGATAGACCAGGTAGCTTCCACACAGCGTTACGCAGCCAATGAAAAGATACTGCAGCTCGACTGATTCGGAGTGAGACCTCTGCTGTTAAACCGGAGCCGGTCATTAGCACACTGCCCAGGGAAACTCTCCACTGTCTCCACAACTGCCCCATCATCAATTGGGAGTTGTGGGGGTGGAGTGTCCGATGGTACAAAATAGGCTGATGGTAAGGCCCCACCTGTTGGTGGCAAGCTCCAGGTTCAGCAGCAGCACCTCGAACTCCTCCTCCGAGTGAGCAGCCATTAGCAGATAATCGGCATACATAACGTGGTTGAGCAATAGGGAGCCATCCCTTGACCACACCCGGGCATCGATCAGCCTCCCATTGTATCTGTAGCAGATGGGAATTCTTCCGGTACAGGCATTGAAGGCTCGACGAACTACGTGGTCCAATGTGGGAGCCAGAGGACATCCCTGTTGCACCCCAAGGTGTAAAGGGAATGGCTCTGACTCACGGCCACGTAGTTAAGATGCGTGCCGCTCACCATCATGAAGGTCCTTAAGGATGGTGATGAGTGGGTTCGGGACTTGGAAAACACGAAGAGCAACCCAGAGGCCAGGCCTACTGGTGGTATCATAGGCCTTGAGCAGGTCAATAAAGCACACACACGAACTAAGATGCACACATGGACCTACAGACACGCAAAGAAATGGAGTTACACTGACTAACATGGAGGCATGCACACACAGCGACTAACACACACGCACATGGACTGAGACACACACACATATGGACTGACACACACAAACACATCGACTTACAGACACACACACATATGGACTCACACACACATAGACATGCACTTGAGATACGCAAACATGGAGTTACACACACATATCGACGTACACACATACAGCGACACACACACATACATAGAGTGACACATACATTGCCGTACACACACATACACATGTGGACTGTCACACAGACATCCACTTGAGATATACACACATGGAGTTGCACACACATATATGGACGTACACACACACCAACTCGCACACAGCAATACGTGGACTAAAACACACATTAACGTAAACGTGGACTAAGACACACACACATGAACTTACACATACATAGACTGACACACATATCCCTACACACACACATACACATATGGACTGTGACACACAGATATCTACTTTAGATACACAGACATGGATTAACACACATATGGACTCACACACAGACGCATTGACTTACACACACACATCGAGTGACACACATGTATAGACTTACACACACATGTGGACTAACACACACACATATGGACTGACATACACATCGACGTACACGCACACAGATCGACTGACACACACACATGGACTAACACACACACATAAACACTTTGACGTTGTCCATTCGAAAAAGACACCCACATGGAGTTAAAGACACGCATGGCTCTACACGCACACACATATGGTCTCAAAGACACACACATGGACTCACACACACACATCGACGGGCACAGCAATCCCCGATGATGGCACAGCTATCAGTATCGCAGTACTACGTATGAGTAAATAGCGTGACGTGAGCGATGGAAACAATAGAAATGCATTTAAGAAATAAGCAGAAATCACAGACTGGCAGTAGACCGTGGCAGCGTTATAAAAGCGCAGCAAAAAAAAGGGGAAATTGAGCAACCCAAAAATCCAAAAAGAGTTTTGTGTACACAAACATAATTATTGTAACATGTCAACTTGCTTCATAATGGTAAAAAATGAACCTGAGTTGTTATCTTGACAAAACATAATTATTGTAACATTTGTGAACTTGTTTCATAATGTTGAACAATGAAGCTGAGTTTTTATCTGCACACAAACATTATTGTAATGTTTGTCAACTAATGTGTTTAACAATAGTAAACAATGGACTTCAGCTGTTAGTGTAAAAAGCAAGGAAATTTGTACTTACCATAGGCGTGTTGAGGCCTTGTGCCATGTGTAGCCCCCGTCCTGGCAGAGTTGGCACGTTGCCAGGCTAGGGGCTGGGCCGCTACCCCCCCTCCCCAGCATCCCCTGCCCGTGCAAGAATAATGCTATGTAAGCAGTCTGTAGTATTAACTGGACGCATCGTGTTGGGGGGGGGGGGGGGGGGGCGGCGAAGAGGACATGACACTGTGAATAAATATCCGCAGCATGATGTGTGTATGTGTTGGCTGTAAAACGTGTAAAAGAAAATGTCCCCCGTGAGCTCGAGCGAACGCGCATCACTTGGCAGGGTCCGCCTCCCCCACGCAATTGGCGTCACTTGGTACGGTCGATGTCGTGCAATAAGTAAATAATTAATAATAGAAACAGCACTAATGTGTTAATTAAACTACTTTAAAATTTACGGATGGGAAAACGGAATAGCCTATTCCCACCACGGGGCTCAGGGCGTGCCGGCTGGCAAATTATTTCGGTCTTAAACCCCACCGTCCGAGAGCCAAATCCC